GGAGAGGTTCATCTCCTCACAAAAGATACCAATGCCACCACTTCTGCCAGAACATCTGATGTCCCTGATGAAAACTAGCATAAAGTTGGGGGAAGGGAGCAGTTTTATTATTCACAGAGTAAAAAGGGGTTGTTTCTCAAGCTATTACTGTTGGCAACTGGAAATACCAGCTCTTTGATGGGGGTTAATACATTTGTTTCTGGCCCATTTGTCACCTCCTCTTATTAAACGAGGCTACAAGGCAGGTTCGGCCTTCCCTGGGATAGGCACAGTCCCATCATCTTGGCTTACGCATAAGCGATACCCCCAGCTTCCACCATGGTGGAGAGGCGCACACCATGGCCGCCGTACAAACTGCAGAGCGGCACAGGGTCACTGTGCGTGGAAGTGTCACCCGCTAATTCTATGGATGTGTAAATCTGCAAATAATTAACCTGTCAAGATCTGAGCTGTCAGGTACTTATACCTACTTAGTTCTTAACAGCAGTGCAGCAGCAGAATATATTCCAGTACCTTAGAAGTGACTCTTGGCTATCCTGACCAAAAGAATGACTGCCACCCATAGCAGCCAGAAACTACTCATAGGCAGAAAAGTAGTACCTAAGCAGATCAACACAAGGTGAAAAAAGTTCTTTTTTTCAGCTGCGTGATACCCAGAAGCCCTCCCATAAAGAGTAAATTCTTAGCAGGCTAACTCATGTAGCTTTTCAAAGGCATGTAGAAATCACAGGAAAAATTCAGAAAGGGATATAAAAAAGTTTCTTTTTATGAAACACAAATGTTAGTTAAAAGTATAACCGTACACTGTGGTAACTTTTAAATGTCATAAAAAGATTTTTAAAAAGTATAGTACTCAATAATTGCACAAAATTATATAAAAGAAGTAAAAAAAGGTATATGTAATGCCTTGATTCACAGTAAGAACTCTTTAGTAAGCCAGGTATTGTTATCTTTGCCCCCATTATTTCACTTGATGGACTTTCTCTGCACAAATGTAGAAATCAGTTCACTGATTTGAACACAGCAATCCATCCAGCAAAACAGGTTTCAGAGTAATCCATCAATAGAGCTAAACGGCAGCAGAGTCCTTTCAAATTAAAAAAGTGGACTGGTTGAGAGACTGGCCACTCACAACTCCCTGTATTGGCAACTAAGGTTTCACTGGAGTTATAGAAAATATTTACTTTTTAACGGCTAAAAGGGATAATTCATTATCAAACTGCAAAATGAAATAACTACTCTTCCTGCTGCATCTGACCTGTCATTTATGTTTCTCTGTGAACAATCCAACCTGAACCATACCTAGAGCAACCTGGAGAGAACAGAGAAATACTTGTTAAAAGTGTTGGATATTTTCAGCGTTCAGGCATATACTCACAGCATGTTAAAAAAAAAAAAAAAGACAAGAGCTGTACATTGAGTCCAGAAATAAAAGTTGGACAATATTGATTCGTATGTTATAAAATAATAGTGGTTCTCATTTATTCATCTTCTTATGTATTCAGTTTTTTGGTCCATATCTGAATCCGATGAGTCACTTTCATCAGAAGAATGAGAGGAATTTTGCCATTCCTGAGAGCTGTTATGACAGTGTGGTTTCTGCATGCTTTCTGTGTCATCCAGGAGTTTTGCTTCAAAAGCATGAGCACACTGCCAGTCAACTGCATCCTCTTGGGAAGAAAGAAGAGCTGCAGAACTATCCACGTTCTCTTCAGAGGCTCCCAACAGCACTGTTTGTAAGTTAATGGTAAAGCAAGCACTGTTCCTTCGCCTAGAAGAATAGTTACAATTTACCTCAGAGACAGGATTAAGCAATTCACTACTTGTGTCTTTGTCTTCTTCAATGTCCATCTCATGCTCTTCAAAATCTTCTGGGTCGATGTCTGAGGGTTCACTTGCCTGGCTGCTTCTGTCATCACATGTACTACTTGTGGAGTACTGCACGAATCCATTTGGCGTGTCAGAGGAATGAGGTACTCTACTTACGATATCACGCCTTGTGTAGCCATGATTACTTACGGCATCGCTGTCACTGTCATCTTCATCACTGACACCACCACTGGATTCATTTGCCTTTTTTTTAAACTCTTTGTAAATGATCTCTACAGAGGCTATTTCTTCAGATTTGAATGTCCACGGTGAATAGGCTAACTTCCTGATGCATACCTAAAAGAGCAGAGCGAATTAAAAAAAAATCAGCCAAATTTGTGCACACACACAGAAACGTATGAAAAAAATACCCCCAATCATGAGGTTGTTAGTCAAATGATTCCTCCTGCACCACATTTTTGGCTTTTTCTGCAGAGTTCCAGGCATCTAGGATTGTTCCCTCTTCTCCATTCCTGTAAATACGACAGCCTTCACTACAAATCAGCCCGCAGCATTGGACAGCCTTAAAGAAATTACACTAGTGCCAAACAGCGTCAGGCATGAAATGCTTTGATTCTGATCTCTGAGATACCTTCCTGAGACTAAAAGCTCATTTTAGAAGTACATCTTAAACCTGAGGTGAGTCTTGCAACTCTCTAGTAGCTCTTGCAGTTACCATGCAAAAGAGAAGCCTTACATGGAGGATCAATTTTAATGTCCTTTAGAAATGTACTATTTGAAGCAATGAACTATGTAACATCCCAAGTCCTATTTTCTCATTTTTACTCTGCGGATCCTTCTGAGGATTACTGAATATGCAAAGCTTTGGGGGAAAATGTTGACAATGAAAAAAATAACCTTAGACACTGTTTGGCAAAGTCATGTTCAGTAATCTTAGGGATATGAAGGTAACGACATAGCAAAGGACAGAAACATGAGGAAAAAAAAGTCTGAGAAATATTTATGCTGAAAAACACCATAGAATTAAATGCAAACGAAGTCGGACTATTAAAAAAGAAAAAAAAAGAAACCAAGCAAAGATGGATAGAAACAAGTTCCAGGAATCTTGTTATTTTTGCTTGAAATTTAGTGGCAGTTCAGTTTCTTCTATTAAACTAAAATAGCTGACTTGGGACCGGCTTCCTCAAGCACTAAAACATGACACTTGATCACAGAAAAAGTCAAAGAAAGATTACTTTATTCAAAATAGTAGAACAATTTGAGTGGTATATTGCCATTACCTTTCTTTCTTCCTTAAGTACTGTTCCTTATGGGAGCTGATTCTTTGGCTCTACTCCGCTCTTGTGAGACCCCACCTGGAGTACTGCATCCAGCTATGGGGCCCCCAACATAAGAACGACATGGACCTGTTTGAATGGGTCTAGAGGAGGGCCACAAAGATGATGAGGGGGAGGGAGCTCCTCTCCGATGAGGTCAGTCTGAGAGTGTTGGGGTTATTCAGCCTGGAGAAGAGAAGGCTCCAGGGAGACCTTGTGGCAGGCTTCCAGTACCTAAAAAGAGCCTACAGGAAAGCTGGGGAGGGACTTTATCAGGGAGTGTAGTGATAGGATGAGGGGTCACAGCTTCAAACTGAAAGAGAGTAGATTTAGATGAGATATTAGGAAGAAAATCTTTACTATGAGGGTGGCGAGACACTGGAACAGGTTGCCCAGAGAAGCTGTAGCTGCCCCATCCCTGGAAGTGTTCAAGGCCAGGCTGGATAGGGCTTTGAGCAACCTGGTCTAGTCGGTACCCATGGCAGCAGGCTTGGAACTAGATGATCTTTAGGGTCCCTTCCAACCCAAACCATTCTATGATTCTTTATGTGACTACTGAGAATACCTTAGCATTTGGAGGTGATGCAGGTACTTTTTGCCTTGTGTACATGCCCATCCACCCCCTTACCCCCACCCTGACTATGCTTTCTTCCAAAGCTATATCATTTCTTTTCTTTTCCTTTGCTTTTTGTTTTCATCTAACTCCAATATTCAGATAGATTATGACAGCCTGGTCCAGGAGTTAGTTTCTACGATACTATGCCAGCTCTAGATTCTGGCAGCGATAACTTGCATATAAATATTTTTTTTCCTACTAAGTGTTCCACTATCAGGCATCCTATTCAGCAATGCCTGTTTATAACAGAATACAGGAATAAATCATTACTGAGACTGGAGCAGACAGACATCTGGCTACCCACAAAAGTGATCCTGAACTTGCTAGTAACAGTTCTGGAACCAACAACTCGCATACTTTTCTAGCAGGGACATTATCCACACATAATTGCCTCTCAATCTATGGTATGAGATACACATGAAACTGGAAGGGTGGGGACCTGCAAAACATATCTGCTTTCAGTAAAGAAGATTCTCCCTTCGACTGAGAAGATAACATTGATGTTACAAAGCAGGGTCAGGTTTCCTGAGAAACAACATGCTTTAAAGACTGCTTCCTCAAAAGCAGTGTCTTATCTCTAAGAAGGTCTTTGATGGTCTGTCGTTTTGTCTCCTTGTCGAGATGAATTGAGAGTAAGCTCTTATTTATTGTGTATGACATCATTTCCAACAACTATCCAGATCTTGCTCTTACCAGCCTGCTGACCTTTTAGCACTTCCTATATGTTGTCCTTGCCTCCTTTTGTGGACAATAACCAGGAAGCATAGCTTTAGGGAAGAAAAAAGTCTTAGAGCACTAACAGTGACTCTTTTCTTCTCCAGATGTGCCTAAACAACTGGCCCATCTTTTGGGGATAATGAGACCGAAACTTCCAACTCCAGACCATTTATGTGTATGACTACAGGAACAATACGCCCATACCCGACTGGGTCTTAAAAGCTACTTCTTGTCTTTTCAGCTTGCTTTCCTATGGAACCATGGTAAAGGGAAGACTTTGAAGGCAAGTTTAAAATATTTGCTTTCAGTTGTAGAATCTCTCAGAATGCCTTTAAATTCCAGCAACCAGAGACCTGGCTAAACTATCCTCAAATCTTCAGGGAACGCTCTGATTTTTGGTGTAATAAATAGAAAAAATATTATAGGGGTAACTGGTTTTGTTCTTGGAGAGGAATGCAATACTGCAGGGTGAAATAATGGAGGCAAAATGTGCCAGAAACTGCTTTACTAAGGACCAGCGGATACACATTGCTCCCGAATGTTTTCTGAGCATCCTTCTTGGTGGAGAGCAGGTCTTCTGCCTATGCGCTTCACCTAAGAACCAGAGTAGGTTTTTTTGTTTTGTAGTTACTGCCCTGGGTGCAGGAAGGATTTACATATAAGGTAATTTCCAAAGCGCAAGGGGTTAATTGTCCTACACCAGGTGCTCTGCTGTAGGACCTAGCCTGTTTCTGCGTACCATAAAATATTTATTTAAAGGTATTTTTTTTTTGGGGGGGGGTGGGGTGTCCCCTTCACTACTTCCTGCCCTCTCTGACTTCATAAAGTCCTAGAACAGCCCAGGCTGGATGGGACCTTGAAAGACCTTCTGGTCCAACCTTTCACAGGCAAGGGAGCCTAGATGAGATTATCTACCACCCTGTCCAATCACATATTGAAAACCTCCAGTGATGGGAACTCTACCACATCCTTGATTGTTCTCACTGTAAAAAAAAAATAATCTTTCTTATACTGACATCAAACTTCTCATGGTGCAACTTGTAGCCATTGCCCTTTGTCTTGAGAGCCTCTGTCCTGTTTGCAGCCGCTCTTTTAAGTACGGGAATGCTGTAATGAGGTACCCCGTCAGCCATCTCTTCTCCAGGGAGAAAGGACCTAACTCCTTCAGTCTTTCCTCACAGGGTAGGTTCTCCAGCCCTTTGGTCATCTTTGTGGCCATCCTCTGGACCCTCTTCAGTCTGTCCGCATCTTTCTTGTGCTACGTGGACCAGACTTGGACAGAGTACTCCAGGTGCGGCTCCACAAATGCCGAGTAGGGTGGGATGATCACATTTCTATCTCTGTTAGTAACTTGCCACAGATGCAGCAAGAAATGGTGTTGAAAAAGACTATTTTCTCTACAGAACAGTCAAGATTTAGCAGCCTGTAGACATCTTTGACATTGGTAAACTGCAAATTAAAATATTACGTGTACTTACATAACTTGTGCCTAATATACAGGATTAGAAATTTCAGATGGTAAACTTTGTCCTCCCAACCAGGAAGGTTAAATATGAGAATTACTACATACCAAAGTAGGTGGAAGTGATTTTCTTTGAAGAATATAACCTCCTGCATGCATACACTTCAGTGTTACAGCTAAGATCAGTGTAAAACATACAGCACCTGTGATTGCAACTGTATAATAATCTGCAAGTGAAAAAAAAAACAAACGAATAAACATACATGAATGAAGTTTCCAATGACCACATTTCATACTCAAAACACCTATTTAGAATCACAGAATAATTTTGGTTAGAAGGGACCTCTGGAGGTCATCTGGTCCAAAGTCAAAACAAGATCAAATCCAAAATTAGATTCAGGAATTAAAGAAGAAATTATACCATCTTTAATAACCATTTATGCAGTTAGTGGAGATTTGTGTGGCCCACAAGATTAACAACAGATTTGGATGGGTGGATGGGTTTTTATGTTTCACTTATAAATCCCCACTACATTTATCATTTAGAAGGTAGTTTCTGATTAGGAATTAATTGACTTGAAAATCTTCCTACATAAAAAGAAAACACTTGCACATAATCAACTCAGAAAATCCATTCCTCCACCACAGCACAATTACCTTGTTGAGCTACAGAGTCTGCAGTTATACATTTCCAGGCTGACGGGATGGAATTTTTGTTTAGAGATGCAGTGACCACAACAGACACACAGTAATTTCTATTTGGATACAATTCTTCAATGACAGTACTAAAAATTTCTTCAGTGATTTTCTTATACAGCCTCTGTAATGAAAGACAACGTTTTAATGTTAGCTATTTACCTAAAAAGAGCTCCCAAGCCACTGATAAAACACTACAGCTATTTCAGAGAAATGCAGTAGCACGTGAAACTGCAAAAACTGACACGGTAACTCAGCAGTTTACCTCAACAACTGCTTCATCTCTAGTTCTAGCTGATGTCAAGATACCTACCTTATGCCTGTTTGTGAAACACTGCATTATCAAAGATAAACTACCTTCTGGCTCCCAACTGTTGGTCACTATATGTCCCCTTGAAGTAGCCTCACATAGATTCTACAGCTTGGAAACAGCAAGTGATATTCTGATTCAGAAATCAGTGCAAAAACATCCATGGCAGGCAAGTTATGGTCCTTCTTCTGTGTGACTCATGCCAGAATGCGTTAGACAGATTAAATTACCAACAGGTATCCGTCTGACCTGCTGTTCCAAACTTTCCGTCCAGGCAGTCCATGCTCTTGTTCGGCAACTTATTCCAGTGCTTTGCCAGCCCAAGTGTTAATAGCTCTCTTGATGTTTAACCTAAAGTCTGCACAACTGCCAATTTAATTTCACTGATTTTGGTCACAGTGAATGGCATATTTCTTCTTTTTCTGTAGTAAATGTTTACATACTCAGAGACTCTGGCAGCTAACTGTGCTTTGCTTGCTTACACTAAGCGGTCCCCTATTATTCCAGCATTTCCTCACAGTTCATGTGTCAAGATCCCCCACAGTCCTCACTGTTCCTTTCTGGATCCTGCTCAACTGGTCCATGCCTTTTCAGAACCCCAGACTGGTGCGTGGTAGGTGGGCTTTACAAGTAGAGAGTACATAAAAATACCATTTTTTAATCTCTCAGCAACATGTGAGTCATGTTTAGCTTGTAATATTACACAATGCTCATAATTTCTGGCAAAACTGCTGCCTGTGTAGCTGTTACCACTCTACTTATTACACAGACAATTATTCTTAAGTGTTATGCCTTGCATTGGTCTTTATTGAATTACCTCCTATTATTTTAAGATTATGTCTCCATTTTGTGAGGATCATTTTAAGTTCTAATCATGCCTGTCTACCTCTTTATTTCAGCATGCAAAAAACTCCCAAAAACCCAATTAAGTAGTACCAGACCCAGAATAGGTTGTTTCAGAAACTAACTCGATACATTTTTCTAGTTTGACGGAAAACTACTGAACTGCTTTCTGAACATACTTTCCTATCAGCTGTACATATACCTGCTAGTAGTTTCTGCTAAACTGTCTTTCCCTTGTCTTCCCAGAGACTAATCACTTGAGCTAGTGCCCTGTGCTTTATTTCAAGTAAGGATACGTGACAACCAGTATTCCTCTTCCAGGCCTGCTATTCTGCAGTAAAAGGCATCTCAGATTATGTTGGCCATTCTCTTTGTTTTCCTCTAAGTATCTTCTATTGACACATTTGCTTCTGTGAATCTGCTAAATATCAGAGCCATTCTATGCTTTCTGTTATTTCTCCCCTAACGCACAAATCAAACAAAAAATTCTTTACCTTATGCTCTCCATCGACTGTTTTCAGTATTATAGCATATTGAAGCTCTTTATATATATCAATTAAAGACGATGGCTTTTCATTTTTTATTAAGTGAGAGGTTGGCAGCTTTATGGTGACATTTATGCAGTTTACACAGGAACTGATATTAACTTCTGGTGGTCCCAGGAATGCTATTGAAAAAAAGAAAGAGAATAAAATATACAGTATGTATTCCGTACCAATTCTATTTTGGTGATGGATATATAGCTGACTAATGAGATTCCAGAGTATATCACTGTTGTAAATCCACAAGGCCTTGCAACATTTAAGTTCCACGGTCAAACAATCCTTTCCCACATGACTAAATTTTAAAAACAGAAAGCTGTGGAAGGGAGGGAAGAAGCAGAAAGGCGACAAGAGGCTTTGCTTCAGCTCCACAGAGATGTAAGCTTTTTATGAGGTTGATGTATAGGAAAACCTGATTATTTTCTTGCTCATCATCTTCTAGTCACTCTCTGTAGAAATGCAGTGTTGTGTAGCCCTGCACATATTCATACTGGTTGCAAGGAAGGTGATAGGTCTAAACTTGACAGCTGGAAGGCCGGAGCTTGGAAGGCTAAAAACTCTACTGACAACCTAGCAAAACAGTTACACTTCTGTGAGACTTCCGTTGGGTTCAGAGTAATCTCTCAGGTTCAGGTCCTCAGAAAATGTACATGTTTGAAGAGCCATGCACACCAATTGCCTGCTCTCTCCAAGACTACATATCCATCAAGATCAGAGGAACTCCCATAGTGAATCAAGCCTAAGATCTTCTTTCTTCCAACACAGGAAAGAAGTAGGAATGTTGGAAAACGGTGTGAGAACAAATTATCTCCATAACCCTTCATTTCTGCGTAATACATTGTGGGGCAAAAACCCATGAAAATTTAGTTTGCATTTTGTCTTTTCCATGCACATTTAAGCATGCACATTTTGATCAAGGGGGAGGCTGTTTTACCAACTCCTGCAAAACTCAAAAAAGCAAAAGCAATATACATTTGCTAACTACTTCTGTTCCTGAAACAGGGTAGAAAGCAAAAAAAAAGAAAAGTTTAATACTTCAAACAAATGTGAGCTTTCATCTACTCTCAAGCAGGAAAGCATGTCCTAGTGAAATGGTTGCAAACTTAGTCTTTTCTCATCTTTGTTTTAAGTTACAAATAAACATTAGCTTAAATCCGTTTACAGTCAAATGTGGTTGTTCTCCTGGCTCTCAGTTATGAAGCCCTTCTGTCTTTGCTCAAATCCATCTGTCAATAGCAGTGAGATTCCACCGTAGGTATTTGAAAGTAGATATCAACTACACCCAGCAGGGAAATATCCCAGAATATTGATTCTTTCCTATTTAGGTACTGTAAACCAAGAAAAGACTACAGGGTATCATCTAAGTCCAGTGCCCTGGAAAACACGACTTCCCTCAAGTGCTTATAGTTTGAATTAGAGAACTACTAGCAAAAGATCCGACTTCAATTTACAAGTCGCCGGTGATGGAAAAATCAGTCAGAGCACCTGACAGTTTGTTCCAGTGCTCAGTTCAAAATACGCCTCTTGTTCCTGGCTAAAATTTACCTAGCTTCAGCTTCCAGTCAGGGCGTGATGTTAGGCTTTGTTTACAGACTGAAGCAGCCTGCCATCATATTAACTACTGATCAATACACCTTCTGATCCTTCTCTTTATTAAACTAACTGCAGAAAGACTGAAGACCTCTACCTCAGAGGGGTATTCTCAAATCATTCAAATATCCTTGTGGCTATTCTACCTACCCCCTCCAATTTTTCATCATTTCTGATGAGGACACAGCAGTGGCTACCTCTGTGCTGAATTCAGAGGTAACATGACCTCTCTTCTCCACAGTCCTCCAATTGTCCCTCAATCTCTGTTTCTGTTACCTCAAAACTGAATACTAAGCACAACTAAGGCTGAAGCCACCTCTGGTATTAGAAGATGTCACAGCTAATAAGCATCTTCTTTCAGCAAGGAAAGGGAAAAGAGCAGACTGATGAACAAACGAAGTAAATCTCTTCCCCTGCACCTTGTGCAGACATGGTATTTCTTTAACTGTTAACACTGACTACTTGAAGACATAAAAACAATGTTTTTTTCTTTAACATTATGTATCTTAGGAGGCACCTAGAGATTTTTACTCTGTGCTTGCTAATGCTTGATACAAGGTATTTCCTCTATATTTATATATACATTTTGTTTCAAAACTAGAGCCTTGTCCATTTATCAGAACTACTGTAGCCACTAATTTTAGAAAGCTATCTACATACTCTGTCTTGTATCTGATATGTAATATATTATATTATATACAAATTCATATTCTCTTAAATAAAGGAATAAGCTACCGACCAAGTTAGTTTGGAGTGTCTTACTGTAAAACTAGCAGAATATCATTTATACATCAGCTACAGATAAAAACTACTAAAATGAGCAAATGCAGACAGAGAACTTACTGTCAGTAAGTGGCTCAAAACCTAATACAGAAGAATTGAATACTTCAGTTCCTACGAAGCTCTGAACCAATGCTGAATACTGAGTGCCATGCTCTTTAAAATCATCTGTCAGATTACAGGAGAGTTGTGTAATAGCTGAACATTGTTTAGCAGTCTTCCAGTTCCTGTAAATCAAGATAAGTTAAAGATCAAGATAATCCACCTGAATTCTCTGATACAAGAAAGCATGGGGGGAGGGGGGGGCAGGGAGAACTTCTGAGTGGAAAAACAGAGTGGAACAAGAAAACCCCAGCCTTAGTATTTTAACTTGATAAACATTAAAAGCAAAGTTTCTTATAAAGTCTTATAAAGTAAGACTTGCCTGCGGTCACTGTACAGCACACGATAGTATGTTGGCACAGCTGGATCACTTTTTGCCTGCCAGGACAAAATGTGCTGAAAATTGCGAGATTCCATTTGTAGGTTGCGAGGTGGCTCTCCCAGATATCTTTCTAGAAAGGAGAAAAACAACCCACAAAAACAAACAGCCCACCAATATGAATGGCAAACAAATGTGAGACTACAACAATTCTAATCAATAAACCCAATTAGAGCAGTGCAATATTTCCCCCAAAATAAAGCAACCATAGAACAGAGTTCAGCACAATAGAAAGAACAATGCAAAGGACTGTCCTCCTATACTATATTTCTATTAAGTTCTTTCTTCAAAAAAGCATGAGGTTTTAAAATGACGCTTGGTGAGAATATGCAAGTTTTTTGAACTGTGTTAGGAAAAGCATTTGAAAGACAATAAAAACTCTTACCAGGCCAGCTGCAACAAGCTGTAGACAAAATGCTGATGTACACTGGAAAATGAAACTATGTATTAATGCATTGGTATGTCTACAATGTCTGATTATTAGCTTACTATTTGCAATATTAATTTGCAACAATTAGAGACAATACTCCATATTCCCTCAGTGGAAGTGTGTGTTTCTTTTGCATCTTCTTCCTACTACTTTCCTCTACCCTCCCCTCCTTCCCCAGAGTATGGGATGTCCCCTTCCAACCTCTGTCATTAATTCAAGGCTCCTAGGAGCTGGTTCTTTGATAACTACACTGTGGTCCAGGCTTATGCTGATCTTTGCCAGATGAGGTTCAAGACTCAGTGTGAATAAACATACTTAAGATATTCTTACCAAATACCATCTTCAGGTATTCTGCCTATACTTCAAGTAGCTCACTTGATTAAACACCACTTTAAGTCACAACAAGAATATTAAAACTGGTCTGGCAAAAGATACTATTACTGATTACTCGATGAACATTATTCAATCATTTTCACAGACGTTATTCTTCACTAAATGTGGGGAGTCCTCAAGACTGTAATTTTAACAACGTTGGTATACTACTCACTGTCTTTCGTCAGCTAACTCCTGTAACTCCCTACTTCAGGCTCTATTTCATAATGAACTCTGTATTTTGTATCCTGTTTCTGTAACATTTCCCCGTGGGAAACTCTACAGCATTCTATTCTGTCTGCAAAATAAAATAAAAAAACCCCACACCAACAGATGCTGCAACACTTCTCTGGCCACATTCAGCCTGTCAGTCAGACCGGCCATCTGAGTAATGTCTCGAACCCAGCCTTCTTGCCAATCCTGACATTCTAGGAGTCTCCACATCTTCTTGTATAACCTCCATAAGAGACTGTTCATTCATCCAGATTCTCACTGTATTCAGAATTCTTTTCCTTGACCAACCCAGTCTTGCATCATTCAGATCTTTTCAGCATGGTACTTCAAGACATTCTTGAAATTACTGTTCTGACGCTTCTAATTTTTTTCTCAAGATCCTTTAGCTCCCTTCTGCTTTCTGAGTGCAACAAATGTAAACTTGCTGTCCCCATTTTAAAAGCAGTTTGTGGCCTGTCCTCTTACTGATGAGATACTAACGCCCATATTCAGGTGGCCAAAACAGTTACTAGTTTAATTTCAAACATGCATGCTTTTTCTCATGCTTTAGAGGAGCTCCCTGGAAATATCTGCAAAATTACTTCGTTATTTTCCCTAAAACTCTTCTCCATGAACTCTCTTTTGTCTTGACACCTAAACCCTCTACCCAAAAATATGACAATACCCAAAACACCACTGGCCTGATACCTCCGTTGAACTGTGCTGATTATGACTGTCTTAACATGTTATTTCATTCTCCTCGTCTCACTTAGAATGGCAACTTCTGTAGCATGAGGATTGTCTTTGACTTTATATTTGTACAGCAACTAACACAGTAGCACTCTTGTCCACAACTGAGGTTCTCAGGTGCCACACTATGACAAATAATGTAACAGAACTACTTGATGTGTCAACAAGATATGCCACAGTAAGAATGAATGTAAAAAGAGAAAAGAATTCTGGGACATACCTTATAAAAAATTAAAACAATTTTAATGGGGATCTACAAATAACGTAGACAGGACTATCACAGAGTGGCTGAGGTTGGAAGCAACCTCCGGAGGCCATCTGGTCTAACCCCCAACTATGTGAACCATAGTACCAGAATACATATTCCTGGCAAATTAGAGGGGATTCAGAATAGAAGTGGGTCAGTGGGAACTGTCCTGCCCCAGACACACTGGGACAATTTCCTAATGGATTAATGCAGTTATTTTATGATCCTTGTTTACTTTTGCAGAGAGTACTGTAAGAGGAAAGGAAAAATATCCTACCCAATTAAAGAGATATCTGCAGAGAACCTTTATGGCTACAGAGAAGTGCCTTAAAAATTGCCCTGTAATTAGCAGTGGGCACACACAGAAGCACACACAAATACACTTGAGCACCTAAGTTTGATGAGGTTATTTGGGATGGATACTTAGCCAAGTATTTCTTATAAATCTGACTCTTCAGACATCTATCTCACAAATATTACACTATGCTCCCAGCATCCCTTCTGAAATTAGATGCAAAGCAGCTCATTTGAGTTGCACACGCAGCAAATTTGTATTTCCACAAGACAGGAAACTCATCTCTCTCAAGCTTCATTTTGCCATTCAAACCACAGATATCCTCTCTTGTACATCTTCCTTCTTCATTTGTTTTTCTACTTTATTACAGAATAATAAACATTGCCTTAGAGCAGTGCAGTTAAAAGTAGAATAACTGGTTTCTTGCCATGTAGTAACAGATCACCCATCTTGAAACAAAATCCAGTGGGTATGAATAACAAAGCAATACTTTAACGATTATCATTCTTTACCTGAACACAAGCTTGGATTTGTAATCATTTGTGGCAGGAAATCTCCCTTCTCTCAACAGGCATACAGCCTTTAGTGAACTAAGGCTATTCTCATTGTAGAAACAGACAGCGTCAGGGCACAGACTCTAGTAATCACACGCTTTCTTGGAGCAAGCCCTTTGAAGTAGGAGATGCAAATAGTCTTCTGCCATTCTTGTTTATGCCAGCCACCTTACATGTGTCAGCTGTCTTGCTGATGTATTTCCTGTTGACATGTTTTTCTATTCTGTCCATATCTGTGATTTTTAAATGCCTCTCCCATATCAAAATCAAATCCCATGCATCTAGAGTTAAAACTGCCTCAGAACTTTGTTTCAATAAACACGTTTAGCAAAGATAGTGGGGGATTTGCAAAATTTTGTAGGTTACACTGTTATACAAGAGACATAGAAAAGAAAAAGAAAATCTTAGCCCAAATAACTGTGAAACTTTAGACTGGAAAAATAAAGATGGTCTGTAAGCTGAATGGTGAATCTTTTTTACCATCTTACCCTTTTTACACAATTAAGTGATCCTATCACGCTGTTTCCCACTACAACTACAGCTCAGCCAAGAAACTATGTTTGTCATGCCTGCTAATCCAGAAACTAAGGAGTCCTGAAAAAAATCAGAAGAAATGAAAAACAACACATCCAACTAAGAGTTCACTGGGTACTTAGAGAGGCAGAATGCGATGTGCTGTTTCAAAGCATGTCTGTCTTATGGGGAAAATCATGGTTTATGTATAGAATGGAGTATGTAGAATATGATACACTAGATTCTTGATTCTGTGAATGATTCCAGGGAGAGCTCTATAATAAGATGATGGTATCTTACATCAGTAACTCAGAACCAGTGTTAGTGAAAAATTAGCAGTACTACTCCTCTTACAATATAAAGGTACAGGCAACCTACCAAGTTGATAAAAATGCATTGGTCCATCCATCAGTGTTTCCAGAGTGATTAAGAAATATAACCCACTGACTGCAAAATAAACATTTTGCTTCTGTACCTGCAAATACATTAAAAACAATCATATTCAGCAAATCATCTTAGTAAATTATTTGCAAATAAAACAAGGTCTATGTACAAGGAGTTATTTTAACCTCTTCAATGTTTGGGTGGAGGCAGCGGTACTGAAACAGTTACTGCTATTGGGGTGGAGGCAGGGGGGAAAGATCCTCCAATCAGTCAGGCAATTTTATGACAACAGCACTTTCCTTTTTTCACATGGGAAAGGCTCTCACCATTTGAAATAAATACAGAAAGCACTGTATGATCAAGAGGGAGATTAGAAAAAAAATAAATATGAAATTATTAATTATAAGGAAGTTATTAAGTTTATGTTACAATTTTTAAATACCTAAGATCTATTAAAATATTCCCTCTCCTCGATGTTATTATTTTACTCTATTTATTATTCTCATAGCATTAGTATTTGCAGGATCTGGTTTCGAATGACAGGAAAAGTACTATGGAACAACTGTGAATCTATAGATGGCTGGACAAGGGTATAACTATTTCCAAAGAATCTTCTCCTCAGGTTTAACACAAATAAATTTTTTAATTTAAAATTATTTTAAAATACAACTTAAATTATATTCTCTGCAAAACAAAACAGTTTAAAATTTAAAACCATGACAAAGCATACTATACTATGGTCAGACTTAATTCATCTGATTTTAACATGCTGTGTTAAAAAAAACCCTCCTCTGAGATGTAAATCTTCTCTCTGCTTAAAGTTTTAGTATGATTATAGGAAGTCACTGGATAAATGTTGAGAACCTGTATCATAATTCCACAGAGGAAGAGTACGTTCTTTTCAGTTTGGTTCATTTAATTAATTCATTCAAGCATGAGGAATATTTAGGAGGTATAAAATACCAGTATTCCTCTTTTCAATCAAAATTAAAAATTATGGATAAGATAAGATTTACTAGTGACAAAATCTTCAAGTTTATCGCTGATATCAGCAAGCTAGAAAGCGATTAAGTATCAAGTCCATTTGGTTTTGGCACTAGAGAATGTGACAGAAGATAAAACAATTTCTCATTCAGATAAAGCTTACAGATTACACAAGTAGAAAAAAAAAAGAAAATCTTTCTACTTCAACAAGGTTACCAGCTTGTTCAGAAGTCACACTGAAACCTAAAGCCAAAGAGCATTACTTTCACAGTCACTGTAAAGAACAGTTACACCTGCAGGACCTCATTTTTGAGGCTGTTGAAAATTTTCTCTTAAAGGGAAAACTTCGAGGATCCTGAATTCACTTTGCAAAATATTTCCTTTATGTCTTAATCCTTGCAATTTATCACAAGACGTGTTCAAAGCACTCCATATATAGCATTATGCAACAGATGTATATGCCTACCTTGATCCTTGCTGTACATGCTGTCATGGATAACAACTATCCCAGTCTTGGAATGTGAAGTGACTCGTGTATGACTCCATACGCTGAACAACACATATATCTTCCATGACGCATATTCAAAGCCAAGCTATGTGTTTAGCACCTTAGAATAGGTAAGAAAAATGTGACTAAAAAGGTTTCTCTCCAAGTTTGCGCAGGTTTATCTCCACGTTTGCACAGGTGTCTAAGTCTGGATGTCCTCTGCAGATCTATCAATGCCAGAGATATTCCAGGGGAAATCCATTTCTGTCAGAACTCTGATTAGCTTTTGTTCCTGTTCCTCTTCAGAGCTTCAGCAATTCCTGGAGAGAAGCCATGCAAATACTAGTCAGTCCAGCCCTCACTCAGCTCATCAGCCTGGGCCCACAGTAACTCTCCTGGGAGCTGCCTGAAGCCCTCAACGCTTTCAAAACTCAGCTTCACAGTTCCATGTCACCTTCAGTGGCAGCTCATTTTTAACTGGAGTTCAGGCTGGGTTGTTCTGTATTTGCTCCCAATCAGAAAAAAAAACCACAAAACCAAACAGTTTTTGAAGTTTTGAAAGTCACTGGTTTGTATTTCAGAAAAACTCCGTATCAGTAGTGCAGAAAACATACCCAATTCTTTGAAACAAGCAGATGGCATACAAATCTACTTATCTGAATACTGAGAGAGCGACAGACACAACAGGAGATGTTTCACGCTGAGAAGTCAGCAAAGGAATGTCCTAAACCTATACAAGTAATACAACGTATGGATCAACTTTACAACTGAAACCATGTGAACTAGGGAATCGCACTGTGGGTTGTAATGTTATGCCCATGCTCTATTCCTGGCCTTGCTGGGAGGCTTTGGATAAGCACTTCTAAGGATATTGAAATCATTTAACCTTAATAATCCAACTCCATTCACCTGAACTCCATTTTCCATATGCCACCAGCAGTGGTCCTGGTGAGCCGGACACGCCACTGAAGGAACCAGCGTGGGACATGCAGCATTAAAACACACCAACAGACTCCTTGGCTGCCCTGTGCCGCTCCAGCGCAGCAAGGGGAACAGTGAAACAGCATTTGCCACAACAAGGTCTGTCAGAGTCTACTGTTGTGTATTTTTTCCTTATAAATTTCTGGCCTTGAGATACACGTTTACCTGCATCTTCTGATGCTACGATGCACTTCACAGACTATTGCCAGGGTCAATTTTGCATTCAGTGACACTGCCGAACAAACAATGCTAATAACCCGCTGACTTTTACGCGCGATTCAGCTGGTATTAGGCCAGAACCTGCTGCGGGGACACGGATTTCGGCCAACAGCGGCCTCCGCAACGCGCCCAGCAAAGCCCTAACAGAGACCAGAGACCTTTCCAGGACACTCCGGCACACGAGCGCAACTCGAGAAGGCAGACCTGGCCCCCACGGGACACCTCCCCTCCCCGAGGGAGAGGGGGGAGCACACCGAGCGCGGCCGGCCCGGGCCCTGGCGCGGTTCGGGGCCGCCTCAGCCCTCGCTCCGGCTGCACTAACGGAATAGCTCCGACGCCCCCATCACAGACGCACGCGGGCCCCCTCTCACC